TTGTTACCTCACCAGCCACTGTTCATTAGATATAAGTTGTTTACAGTATACAGTGTATCCTTGTATTGAGGTACTACAGTATAGTAGTCATGTGCAATAGGAAAGCCAACTAGTCACTATAACTTGGACTGACACCTATAATACATTTGTCACTGTACAGTGTGATGCATGTAGGTGCATGTAACAACATTTTTGAGCTTGCAAGCAATGAATTTCTATTGTCCTACCACACTTGGTATCTGCATCTACTGATCATGGTCTCAGATAGATTATAGTCTATAATGGATATAATGAATAATGCCGATGCCAATATGACATTAAGCCATGCAGCTTTCATGGGTCTGTAGAAAGGGTTGTACTTGCACATGTACTTTTGATTACTTACTTATCAATATGTTCATAACTTAAAATACAATTTCTCACAGGCATAATCCACTGCCATAATCCATTGACACCAAACTAAGCAATTTTTTATGGTCCATATGCACTTTATTTAGCACTCTAATAGGGACTGGATTTCTGAGACTATTATTGTGTCAAAACAGTTGGTAATGTCTTGGTTGCAGTTTATCCAGAGATGACACAACACTGATGAGTATAGGCACTGAAACTTCCTTTCATATGCAATATGTGTACATGTATAGCTGCAATATAGGCTGGTAAGCATTATAAGCATTAATAACTTCAATAGTAATCCTTAAGTATGTCATTCAGTCATATAGATCAAATTACATCTACTCTGTAGTATTTCATGGCCAAACTGCACATGCATCTATCCATGTGTTAACTTATTATACACATGGTGACTATTATTGATTTGTCACTCATCATTATTTTTGATGTTATAATGACCAGCTTGCAGTGTGAATAGTAACGCTTGGTAATTTTAATTGATTTTGAATAAATTTTTATTATAAGCCAAGATAACTAATTAATGAAAATGTAATATTACAGGTAAGAAAAAATAAACTGTGCATGTCCTATAGTGTTGCATGAGTCCTAAAGTTCTTGGCTTGTATCACTGCTGCCCATACATACAGTCTATTGACCTGTGCAGTAATAGAATTCATAGCTGGCAGCATTTCTTATGGCATCATCAGGTTTAGTTTTGGCTAAATTCCTGCAGTTGTCAGCTCCATAGACAACATCATCACGCTTAGCGAAGGCATGGACCCATTCATGAACCAATGTACCTTCTTTAGTGTAGCTAGCACCCCTGCAAGCTGTTGGATAACCATAGAACAAGTCGCAAAGATATACAACTGTTTGAGTATATGATTTATACGTGTATGCTATCCAGTTGGACTTGCACAGTGGACCATTGTTGTAATATGTGAGAGATTTGCCTGCTATTCCATTTCTTGCTAGCGTGTAGGTATTTTTGACTGTCGCACCTCTTGATGATGTCCATGCTCCAAACCATTCCCTGTAATGATTATCGTTTCCAACTTCGCCTATAACTTTATCAAGTCCAGCACAGAGCAGCTTATGTGAGTCCAGAGTACCAGAGTTGTTCCTATCACCGTTAGAGAAACTAGCAGCAGTACAGGATTCAATGTAGACAGTGTAATCGATTTCTACTTTTTGCTCCTTTGGTTTTGCGAGAAGACGAGTCCTTTCCAAATGAATGTGAACGGATTCACGTACAACCAATTCCCTGAGCTTACCAATAGACATTGCACTCATCTCATTCACTGACAGATACTGTAAAGGTCTACTGTATTGTACAGTGTAGAGACCATCAGTATCAATGCTAAATATATCAGTGATTTGGACTGAGGCAGAAATACTCTCACCTGCCTTCAAGAGAACAAACTCATCCTTTGTAGGAGGGAGACGATGAATAATGATACCTTCATATTCCAGTGGACGACCATCAAGAGAGACAGAGATGAATTGAGAGTTGAGTCCTTCAAGAGGAGTGTTACGTTTGAGTACATAAAGATCCTCATTTGCATTGTTGGTAAACTCAAAAGAGCAAGCAACTGCAGAAAGAGCTTTATTACAAGCCATGTCAAGAGAGACTGGCCAGCCATTAGCACTGCAGGTACAAGAGAAAAGTAACATTGATTTGATAGTGTAGTAACATACCTGAGAGCACAGGTCAGGTAAGTAACCAGACAGAAGAGTGAGAGTAGAGTCTTCATGATTCCTTTCCTTGATAGAGAGTATCCTTCTTCTTGTAAGATGATTTCTTGTTTTAGTGAGAAGTGATTGACTGCTGCTGGTCACCTCCTTATATACTATTAGGTACCTCATCAATATTCATTAGCAATTAAGCAAAACCGACCAATCAGAGGCTAGCTGCATGACATGATTCCGGCACGAGACATGAAGCTGTAAAATTGTCCAGTTGAGGTGTCAGTCCAAGTTATAGTGACTAGTTGGCTTTCCTATTGCACATGACTACTATACTGTAGTACCTCAATACAAGGATACACTGCACTGTAATCAATCTAATGTAATGCTATCTAAATGGAAAGCAGCTGGTATTTATGAGGTAATAATGTATGCCCATGCACAAACATGTAGATAGACAGTTGTATGTATTGTATGAGACATGCCGAGTTGACTGTGGAGCAATACAAAGTTGCCTCTACAAAGTTAAATTTATACATGAGTTTCTAAATAGTGTTTTCAACTTCCATTTTAATGACATTAATAGCAAGTTCTTGTGTGCAGTGAATCGAATGAATCTTAAAATGAAATTACATGATGCTAGCTGCATGGCCACCAGCTGGTTCAACCTTTGATAGCTATACAGTTACTATATATGCTTGCTATCAATTTAAAGAGTATCCAATGAATTCATTCAATATTATTCTATGAGGACAGCACACATGTATATAAGTTGATTACAGTATACTGTACACTGTATCCTTGTATTGAGGTACTACAGTATAGTAGTCATGTGCAATAGGAAAGCCAACTAGCCACTATATTATAGTAGTCTTGCCTAATAAGAAAGCCAACTAGTCACTAAAACTTGGACTGGCACCTCCATTTTACAGCTTCTTGTATATTTCACTTAAGAAATTTGTCCTTACTTTTAATCAGGAGCCCTGATCAAATATTTTAAAATGATAGACTAACTTTCTATACCTGACAATTTGCAGGGACCACTTCAAATTGGCAACCAGTATCCTTGGTAAAACTTTAGATTAGTTTTTGTAGCAAGGAAGGATAGGGGAGGGAGAGAAAGGAAGTGAACTAATGTTCAATGTATTGTGAGAGGGAAAAGATACTTAATACAAAGATACCTATTGTCACTTGAGGGAAATTTAATATGACAATATAAATGTTTAGATTGCATACTAAATTGACTAATTGTTATTATTATTATTATTGTAGATATTCATTTTCAATATAATGGATTTTTATTTGGAGTTCTTCTGCTTTCGATTACAAGGATAATTGAGGTAATTAATAATAATTATTGTACATTATAGTCATATAGTTAAACTAAAACAACAACACCATTAATGTAGCATTTTCTTTGATTCTACGCTTCTAGTTAGCCTTATGGGTTTAATTTAGCATTTGAAACAAATTAATGAACATAATTTAAAGTGAACTTGTAAAAATTGTCCTTACTATGTAGGGCAGACATCTTGAGGGTGCTATCTGGTTTTCTATTCTACTCAATCTAAAGCACATATTCTTATACATATCTCCAGCATATTTCATTTATCTATTGAAGCACTATTGCTTTACAAAGTCTGATGACCAGCACAAAAAAGGTCAGTTTTGTCAATTTGTTTCTCTTGTCATTATTATGGAATTATTATTATTATTATTATTATTATTATTATTATTATTATTATTATTATTATTATTATTATTATTATTATTATTTTGCCTTATTTATCCTTAAAATTTGGCTGATTTTGTCATTGTGTCAAAAGGTCAGATTGCTCATATAACTTTTCCATTATGTCAACTGTAAACCTAGCTTTAGTAACACAGTAGGACTCACCCTAGTTCAGCCAAAACTTTTGTTGCTATTACATGCAAGTCATGCTGCTTTTAACTTAGTAATTTTTGTCAAAATTCAGTACGTCACAAAACTAAACTTTGTGTGATTATAATATTTCATGAGTTTTATTGTCAATAATAGAAAGTAAAATCCTCCACAAAATTTTATAGCTGTATGGCACATGCACCGTAGTACTTTTATTTATTTTTGCACCTATTTCTATTTAATAAAAGTATTTTATATTTTTTATAGTTGAGACTCCTTTGTTACGTCAGTTCAGAGTTGACAGGTTTCTACTGTTAGGCACTCTTATCTTAACAGTATTTATATTGTCATTTGGACCATTTGTTACTATGGTAATATATATAGTACAGAAATAGCATGTAAAGATGCCCTTTGTTGTTGTTATTATTATTATTACAAGTCTTAATTATGATTACTGTGTGTGCAAGAAATTTTTTGCCATTTTACATTTTCACTTTCATTTTATTTTAGGGTCAGTTAGGTCAAGTGTTGAGCAGGTTGTTTCCATTCAAGAGAGGATTGTGTCATGCATATTGGGCCCCAAACTTCTGGGCACTGTATAATGTGATTGACAAGACACTTGCTATAATAGGTAGGTAGATACATGTGCTGGAAGCCTGGAATAATTATAAACATTGGCATTAGTTGTGGGAGTTTGGCTGTGAAAATTTCCTCTACTTGGCTTAATGCCATGATTGCAAATTTATGAGTTGTACCAATTCTTTATATTTTTTCTTCTCTCCTCCCCTTTCACTTTTCTTTCCTTCTCTTCCTCCCTCCCCCCCTCTCTCTCTCTCTCTCTCTCTCTCTCTCTTCTCTCATGCAGCCACTAGATTAGGTTATACTCTGTCCATTACTGGTAGCATGACAAGTGGTTTAGTTGGTGAAATGTCTCATCAAGTCCTACCATCAGTTCCACCAATAGTAACACTAATATTGACACTCCTAACAATGATCGTGAGTCACTATTAAATAATTATTTCACCAAATTGAGCTTAAATAACTTTATTATTATCATTTTGCTTTATAATATTATTTTTGATATTATTGATCATTTGTTCGCAGCCTCCACTGCTCAAGTTGTGGTTCTCTAAATCCTCCAGTCAAGATTTCATTAAAGTGATTGTGTTGTGTGCCTACTCATCTTTCTTGTTTGGTTGGCATGTGCATGAGAAAGCAGTTCTAATGATAACAATACCAATGAGGTACAGAGAAACACTTTTTTACATTTTCTGATACATATTGATGTCCTTATGCTGTGTAGAAAGTTCAAGCTGATTCTGAATATAGTTATGAGGATTTTAATTTTTAACGATTATTATTATTATTAGTGTTATTGTTGTTATAGTTTGCTGGCATTAGAGGACAAGAAATTCACAAGGATATATCTACTACTATCAGCTATTGGTCACATCTCACTTTTCCCTTTGCTTTATACTGCAGCAGGTTCTCCCTCTACCTTTCTCACACTTTTGTCTCTTATAGTCAAAAAGTTCTCTCTCTCCTCCTACCCTCTGTTCCTCTTTCTCTTTTTCTGTTGGTCAATAATTTTTATATTTTTAGAGACGCTAATCAAAGTCTGTTTGTATGCTTTATTCACAATCAGCTCATTCTTTGCCCTTCCAATGTTAACCCTTGATAAGTAAGAGCTCATGAATGTACATGTACAATGTACATACAAAAAATTTAATGTTGTTTACTTCCCCTCTTTATATTGCATATGCATGGAATATATTTTTAATTTTGTGACTGACACCCTCCTATCTAATGCAGTTATTCACAACTTTAATCAAAATTACCACTTCATCAAATGTTTTGCATCTTGTTCTTTCTCTCTTCCTTTCTCTCTATTTCTTTTCCTATTATTTTCAGTGCAAAAGAAGACAAGAAAAAGACAAGTAAACCTAATCCTACACGCTCCTGGCTCTTGTCATTTCCTGCCCTAACCACTACTGATAGTTTATTACTATCAATTGTATTGCTATTTCAGATATTTTGTTTGTGTGGGTCTTTTGTAAAATTTCCTTTTCTTCCTCTTCTCCTTACATCAGTGACATGTTCTGTTGGAATTCATTGGACATGGATAATGACATTGTATACCTATTTGTTTAACTAATGAAATGAAATACAATGGTATAATTTGTAAGGCAATTAATGGAAGTAAATGGTGGATGTGGGCCAATGGATTGTGATAGCTGCTAAGCATAGATTCATTAGTTATTTTCCTATATACAGTATAGCCTTACCTTTTAAATCTATAACTGCACTGTAGTGTGCTACAGTGCGAATAGTACCTTAGTATTGAATGCAGCTCACCACGTGATTTCACGTGTACCAACTACCAAAAGTGTTCTTGCCACTCCTACAAATGGCGACCAGTGCTCAGAATGAAGCAGAGACAAAGCTCATTTATTTGTGCAGCAAAGGTAACAATGCTACTGTATTGAGTTGCTACTTATTAAATGTTGTATAGAAAATAAAGAGGTGGCTAATATATTGACTGATGTGAGAGAGATACTGGATGATCCTTCAGTTAGAGTGGATGCCACAGATAAGGTATTGAGAGATTTATCTGACCTGTAATAATTGAGATATACTTGAAATTTGTGGGGACTTTATCAATTAACATTTATGCTTGGAGTATCCCTTATATAATGGACACTTGTAGTCTAGATAAGAAAGTGTCTCTGTTATACAGAGGTGCCCTTTATGTGGAGGTTATTTTATAAAGTAAGAAATGTAATTGGTACACTAGGTGCTATCCGTTAAATGGAGGTGTACGCTATAGAGAGTGTCCATTAAGAGAGGCTATACTATGGTGTTGTTGTAATATTCAGTGATTACATTTTATAATTATTTTAAATATTTTATTCTTATACTCTAGGATGGTATGACTGGTCTGATGCATGCTGCTTTTGGTGGCAACGTCAAATTATGTAAATTATTAATAGAGAAAGGAGCTGATGTTAATAGCAACCTACACTCACAAGGAGTAAGGGATGATACTGTACAATGTATTATGTATATACTGTATAGTTTTAGCTAGTAATTTAGATGGGAATTTGGATGAATTTAATAGCAATTTACGTGTACTAAAATTTAAATAATTATTATGTTTTTTACGTGTGCTTGTTCAATGATTCTACAATGATTTGTCATTCAATCACTAAAACTCAGTAGTTCTTCGAAGTTTTAATCTAGTATCTACTGCTCTCTCTCTCTCTCATTCTACCTCTTTCTCCCTCACAGTACACTGCTCTCATGTTTGCCACAATATCAGGTAGTGCCCCAGTAGTTCAGTTACTGCTAGAGAAAGGAGCTAGTGTCACTGCTACTAACAATGTCAATAGAACTGCCGCTCAGATGGGAGGATTCGTAGGTTAAATTATAAATTATTTATAATTGAATTTTGTTAATTGCAAAGCATTACACTAGAAATACATCATGTATTATTTGGTTGCATGATAAATATCGTGTAGCCAAATATTTTCAGGAATTACATGTATACCATACAAGGTGATTTATTGGCGAGGAATTAATATTGGCGATTGGCGGTTCTATGAAGAAATTACCAATTATAAAATTTGCCAATTAACTTTTTATAGGCAAATTTGCTAAAATTTACTCTCGCCAATAAATCATCTTGTATGGTATTCTTTTACTATTTACCCATTAAAAACCAGTGAATTTTGATTTTGCAGTTTTTAACTATTGGAAAGCTACAAATTTAATATTTCTAACTAGAGCTATAGTAGCTACTCTCTAATCAATATTAGTTTGTATAATGTTATTTTTATAAATTTTCTCACAGGACAAAGAGAATGTGTTAATATTATTAATGGATACTTTCCTATTGAGAGACTAAAATACTACACGCAGCCACAAGGTGGGGGTAGGCGTGGTCTAGTGGGTGTGGCTAATTGGTATTATTATTTTTAAGGTCTTGAGACGAGTCCGAAGTTAGATCCGGTATTACTTGAACCACTTCATTCATTAATTACTAATAATGTGATACACCCAGTGAAAGTAAGTGTATGTATTACAGTACAGGTTTATGCTTCTCTCTCTCTCTCTCTCTTTCTCTCTCTCCCTCTCTCTCTCTCCCTCTTCTTCCCCCTCTTTCCTGGGCCCTCTCCTCATATTATACGTAAAAGTTTGTTTTGCTAATAAAAGATAAAGATCTCCACAGACATCAGCATCAGGTGTGCAGTGTATTGAGGATATTGATAGACAAATCATTTCATGAAGACAATGAACCTTTTTCATTGAAGCTTCATCTCATTTGGTGTACAGTGAAAGAATGTAATACTACTGGAACTGATGAGCTTCTGAAGAAGTGAGGATTAGAAAAAATTGAGAAATACCCAAGGCTATAGCCCATGGTTTTTCCAAAAAATGGCTCTGAAATCACCCCAAATTTTTATTACATTTTTTGATACATATTGATGTCCTCATGCTGTGTAGAAAGTTTGAGCTAATTCTGACTTCAATTTTTCAAGTTATGGCCATTTTTAAAAAGTACCAAAATTCTGAAAAATACCCAAGGCTATAGCCCATGGTTTTTTCCAAAAAATGGCTCCGAAATTACCCCAAATTTTTATTAAATTTTCTGATACATATTGATGTCCTCATGCTGTGTAGAAAGTTTGAGCTGATTCCAACTTCAATTTTTCAAGTTACGGCCATTTTAAAAAAGTGTCAAAATTCTGAAAAATACCCAAGGCTATAGCCCATGGTTTTTCTAAAAAATGGCTCCGAAATCACCCCAAATTTTTATTACATTTTCTGATAGATATTGATGTCCTAATGCTGTGTAGAAAGTTTGAGCTGATTCCGACTTTAATTTTTCAAGTTACGGCCATTTTAAGAAAATGCCAAAATTCTGAAAAATACCCTAGGCTATAGTCCATGCTTTTTTTCCAAAAGATGGGTTCAAACTCACCCAAAGTTTTTATTACATTTTCTGATGCATATTATGATGAATAACTTAGCTACATGTACATGTACATGTATTTTCAATCAAAATTAAATGTAATTTTCATGAATTTTTTAGTTGCAACTAAACTGTTATACTACAAGGTGTCTTATGAATAATTACTTTCTTTCTTGCAGATTGCTACAACAAACTGAAGATTGTAAATCACTAGAAGTTGAGAAGTATCTCAGATTGTGCATTAAATCCTATCCACACGTCCATTCAGTTTTATTTAAACAGTTAGTCCAAGTGGTTGCTGACACATCCCTTGTAAGTCAATATAAAGTACAGTAACTATGATGATATTGTGTCTGATGAAATATTCTAGCATATTATATTTTGATTATTTGCCAAAATAAAACACTCCTATTTTAACATGTGGATGTTCAATGAATGAAATTGTGACATTGTCAAAATATTAATTATTGTCATGGTTTATCAAGCATTTATAGTAGCCACTTTAGAGCTTTATTTTATAATAATTGTATTTTTCATTGTGATAATAGGGAGATCAACCTACCACACTAACACAAGTGATTGCTGCCATACAAGGAAACAGAGGGTAAGTTTATAATGATAAAACAATATTAATAAATTATTTATTTTAATATTATTAAGAGCATTTGATAAAAACAATGATTATCTTTTTAATTAAATATTTTAGTTTTATTGATCAAGAATCATGTTCTACTTGTGGGACAACTTCTAAAAATGTTAAGAAATGCTCAAAATGCAAGAAAGTAAAAAAAGCTTTTTATTATTTGATTGTTCTTTCTTTCTTCCATTTTCTCTTTCTCTTCTTTCTGAAGGTTTGGTATTGCAATGTGGAGTGTCAGAGGTTATCATGGACCCTTGGTAATCATAAGAAATTGTGTAAAATTTGGTCGGGACAGAATCAAGAAAAATCAAAGTAACGTTTTTCGATGACTCTAACAAACTACAACAGTGACATCAATTTAATGATGATTGCTGATTTTTAAAATATTAATGTAAACATAGAAAATTTGCGGCATTTTTAAATTTTGACGGTCCATAGTTCTGGTCCAGCAATATATATAATAATTGATGAGAGATGTGTTTTATGCTATTGTCTAACGTGTAGACTAGTTGATATAGTCTACCATTGTATGGATCAATGTCCCAAGTATGGGCTAATTGAATTTCTGTGGCTGTTTGTCAGATTAGCAACTTTCAAAACAAGGAAACTTAAAGAAAGTCTCAGAAATAAGAATCATGAAGGATTGCTCTCTTCTTCTTTTAACTGTATTAGTTCTTCAAGGGGCAAGAGGTGTACTGATGGAGGTCTGTAATGGTGTAACAAATATAAATGAGTTGGGTAAGTATAGATCTATAACTAGAGCTGTAACTAGGGGTGAGCCCAAGACAATGACGATAATTATTTTTGAACTAACAATGAATGTGATTTGTAGCTGAGAAGTGACTATAGTACCACTACTAGTCACTACATGTTTATCTTGAATAGGGTTTGGTTAACAAGGCATGCATGATGCTTAAGAATTACGCTTTCAAATATGGCTGACTTGTGTGTATGACAAGACAAGCCATATAGAAATCTTAATTATAGCATTCTTTCATATACACTACATTTATGTGTGTGTTATATGGTTGGTATCTGTTGACAAAACAATTCAGTGATTTGTGGGCTCGCCCTAATTAGAATGCTTAAGAAACTTACTGCAGAAAATAATACATTATTTTGTTTTATTTACAGTTAGTCAATACAGTCTTGAAGTGAGTACCAGTTTCTCTAGTGATGGAAGTTCCTTATCACTCAACTGTACTATCACTAATGGAGCAGCTAACTTACAGCCTGGACAAGAGTTAGTATGGACTGAGGGAGGAATAGAGATACAAGAAGGGACTATAGGGTATTCAGTACATCAGGCTAATACCAGCTCTCTCTTGACAATTAATATAACTCATGGACTACAGTATGGTGAATATGGTTGCCAGTGTCATAATAGGTACAGCTATACACATAATTCACTCAGTAAACTGATAGCCACTGGTTCATTCATCCAACACTGCAGTAATAAAACTACCATAACAGCAGCACCACAATCAGGTCAGTGAGGTGTCATCACTGTAATATTAACTTGTCATCACTGTAATATTATATGTTCTGTAGGTCCAGCTCCAATCATTACCACACATAATATATCCACTCCTGGTCAAACTGTTAGTATCACATGTAACCAGTCTATGGCAGTACTGGTTAAAGAACACAGTAATGGCTCATTGGTAGAGACCATTAACAATATTACTGTCTCAACTCCTAATGATCAAGGAAAGTTG